GCCACATGCAAAAGAATGACACTTGGACCACTATCTTACACCATACCAAACATTAACTAAGACTTGAATGTAAGGCCTGAAACCATAAAGCTCCTAGAAGAAAACATAGGCAGTGAGCTCCTTGACACCTGGCTTGGTGATGATTTTTTGAAACTGATACCAAAAGCAAAAGTAATAAAAGCAAATTAAACAAGTGGGATTACATCAAACTAAAAAGCTTCTGCACAGCAAAGGAAACCATCATCAAAATGGAAAGGCAACCTACTGAATAGGAGAAATAATTGCAAATCATATATTCAATAAGGAGCTAATATCCAAAATATGTTAAAAAAAAAACCTCATACACCCCGAAAAAAAAAAACCCAACAATCCCATTAAAAATCTTTGTCTGAGAAGACATTTTTCCTAAAAAGACATACAGATGGCTAACAGGTAGATGAAAAGATGTTCAACATCATTAATCACCAGGGAAATGCAAATCAAAACCACAATGAGATAAACCTCACACCTGTCAGATGGCTACTGTCAAAAAAACAAGAAATAACAAGTGTTGGCAAAGATATGAAGAAAAGGAAACTCTTGTGCACTCTTAGTAGAAATGTAAATTGGTGCAAACACTATGAAAAGCAGTATGGAGTCTCCTCAAAAAACTGAAAATAGAACTATCATAAGATCCAGTAATCCTACTTCTGGATATTGATCTGAAGAAAATAAAAACACCAACTTGAAAATATATCTGCACAGCCATGTTCATTGCAGCATTATTTACAATAGCCAAGATATGGAAACAACCTAAGTGTCCACCAATGGATGAATGGATAAAGAAATTACATACGCACACACACGAATATTATTTGGCCATAAAAAGAATGAAATCTTGCCAACAACATGGATGGACCACAAGGCAATTATGCTACGTGAAATAAATCAGACAAAGACAAATACCATATGATCTCATTTTTTTATGTGGAATCTGAAAAAACAAAACAAAGCTCAAACTCATAGATACAGAGAACAGATTGATGGTTACAAGAGGCAAGGGGTGATGGGGAGTAGAAGAAATAAGTGAATTTTATTTCATCTTAAATAAATTGGATTTAAAAATTTTTAAATGACCATATCTATGAACTGGTTACAGATTAATTCATTTGGGTTATCTTCATAATCAGTAATGACTGCTAGAATGAACAAAATCAAAAAGAAATGTTTTAAGTCAATGGAAAAATTACTCCTGTCCTTTGTGCAGCTATATAAGCAGAGAACCCCTCACTTCTTCTTTTTTTTAACATCTTTATTGAAGTATAATTGCTTTACATTGTTGTGTTAGTTTCTGCTGTATAACAAAGTGAATCAGCTATATGTATACACATATCCCTATATCCCCTCTCTCTTGTGTCTCCCTCCCACCCTCCCTATCCCACCCCTGTAAGTGGACACAAAGCACCGAGCTGATCTCCCTGTGTTATGCAGCTGCCTCCCACTAGCTATCTATTTTACATTTGGTAGTGTATATATGTCCACGGCACTCTCTCACTTTGTCCCAGCTTACCCTTCCCCCTCTCCGTGTCCTCAAGTCTATTCTCTACGTCTGCATCTTTATTCCTGTCCTGCCCCTAGGTTCTTCAGAACCATTTTTTCTTTTTTAAGATTCCATATATATGTATTAGCATACTGTATTTGTTTTTCTCTTTCTGACTTACTTCACTCTGTATGACAGACTCTAGGTCCATCCACCTCACTACAAAACAGCTCAATTTTGTTCATTTTTATGGCTGAGTAATATTCCATTGTATATATGTGCCACATCTTCTTTATCCATTCATCTGATGATGGACACTTAGGTTGCTTCCATGTCCTGGCTATTGTAAATAGAGCTGCAATGAACATTGTGGTACATGACTCTTTTTGAATTATGGTTTTCTCAGGGTATATGCCCAGTAGTGGGATTTCTGGGTCTTTTCTATCTCCATTTCCTCACTCCTTTCTCACTTTTTCCTTTTTCTTTCAATTTAAGGAAAAAAAATCTCATTTTACCTTATTTAAAGTCTTCTAAGCAATAAAGTCTTAGTATAATATAAAATGCTCAAAATGTTGCACATTTACCTTTATAGGAGTTTTTATATTTATATATTATAATAATTTATGTATTGTTAGTTTTAAATAATCTAGAAATAGTGCTGGTGAATTTTCATTTCAGTGTGGAACCCAAAGACTGAAAGAGTGACCCCAACTGTTCCCTGTTATCAAAGATCATCTGGTCCCCACTGAACTCATGGACTGCACTGATCTAGCCCATCTACCAGATTCTATTTTTTTTTTTTTTTTTTTTTTTTTGCGGTACACGAGGCTCTCACTGCTGTGGCCTTTCCCGCTGCAGAGCGCAGGCTCCGGACGCGCAGGCTCAGCGGCCATGGCTCACGGGCCCAGCCACTCCGCGGCATGTGGGATCCTCCCGGACCGGGACACGAACCCATGTCCCCTGCATCAGCAGGCGGACTCTCAACCACTGTGCCACCAGGGAAGCCCTACCAGATTCTTAAACCTCTTCAGGGAATGAGATTCTAAAATTTAATAGTCCATTGAGTGGAGAAAATTGTCTTTCTTTTCCTAGTGAGAAAAATGATTTTTACATTTCTTATAACTCAAATGTTTCTGCTGAAATAGAAGGAAGCTTATTTTCTTTTGTTTGGTTCTCAGCCAAGTTAGAGAATAAATTTTAATATGCATATTAACATAATAACTCCCTTCCATGAACTTCACAAAGGGCATCAAAGAACAGCATTGTCAATTCCCCCTGGATCCTAGACCAAGAGGTTTAGTTACAATAACAAGATTTTAAAGATCAGGTCTGATTATTAGTAAGATTATTTGGCCATACACACATATCCTTTAGTTCCACTTTGGAATGGGTATGAGACGAAATTATCCCTGCACCAAACAGTAGATAGAATAAAATAAATTAATTAATTAAATAAATAAAGCAAATGGAGGGAAGCCCTAGGCTAACTCATTGCCCTTGGGGGCAACAAAGCCTGCCCCCAGAACTGGACTCCTTATTTCTCTTCTACTTTCCAAAGGTTTCTCAATATTGAAACTGATGCCCTCTCTTTTAACACAAAAATTTCACAACCTCCTCGAAAGTCACTAATATGCGAAAGATAACTAATAGTTTTTGGCTAGAGTCTAAGTTTCTGAACACCCTCACCAGCTAAAAAGACTTTGTTCAAATTTACTTTCATTATGTTCTATTTTAACACAATAAGAATATTTTATTTTAAATATGTGTACATGCAAAATATTGAGATATTGCATGCACTTTCTAACTACACTCCTCCCCCATAGATCATGATATGTTCCTCCTGGGAATCCCTGGGCTTTCTAGTTTTGCTCTGGCCAGACTCCCTTCTATGGGCAGCCCTTTGAAACTTGTTCCACGATGGGGCTTTGCCATAGGTAACCAGACTTCCAAGATGATGAACTCCTGCCCGTGACATTTTCAAGTGTCTCCTTTCCCCTCCATACACACTCCTGCACCTCCCTCCCCACTGCTGCTGTGCTCCACTTTGGGCTCCAGCTGTGGACTGGAACACCAGGGCTGACTGCTGTTAAGACTCATTCACTGACTTTGCCACACTCTTGGGTCTAGTCAGCCTTCCTACCCTCTACCATCCACCGCCCAAGCCTTGTCTATCCTTGTGGGCGAGTTTCATGCCAGAGCCTGCTTCCCATTCCAAACACATGACACACGCCAATAACAGGCTGAGAGAACAGAGGCCTCTGCCTGGAGCAAGCACATGGCATTCCTTACCCTGAGAAAACACAAGACGAGGCTTGGCCTGGCTTGGTTTGGAGCCATTTTTATCCCTCAGAAGGTAGAGGATTCCACAGAGGAATTGCTACTTTGGACTTAACTCTAACAAGGTTGAGGTGATTGATTGCAAGGAAATATGAGATATACTGTGTTGAATAAGAACTGGGCACTGTTTACAATCAAAGAGGCAGAGTAGGGTAGTGGAAAGAGCTCCAACTACATGCTCAGAAAGACCTCAGTTCAATTCCCAACTTGGTGTGAACCTGGCGAACTTATTTAACATGTGTGAGTTCAATTTCCTCATTCATATAATGGGGATAATAACTCTACCTATTTTGTAGGGTTGCTGTAAAGAGGAAATGTGAATTCACAGTGTCCAGCATGTAGTAGGGAACACAATAAGTGCTCAGCTGATCATTTATGAGCATACAGTATGAGTTTGACAAATGTTAGTTTAAAAAGTCAGCTTTCCAAACGTTAAATGAAAATTTGTTTGCTCCTGCGGTCAGAGACTCTAAATGGAAACCATGAGTGCTATTGCATCAATCCTTGTAGGATTTTTTCTTTTGTGCCATTTGGCTAATTAAATATTTTATTCTTTAAAAATTAATGGGTCAAGGACTTCCCTGGTGGTGCAGTGGTTAAGAACCTGCCTGCAATGCAGGGGACACGGGTTCAATCCCTGGTCCGGGAAGATCCCACATGCCGCGAAGCAACTAAACCCATGCACCACAACTACTGAGCCTGCGCTCTAGAGCCCATGCGCCACAACGAAGCCTGTGCGCCTAGAGCCCACACTCTGCAACAAGATAAGCCACCACAATGAGAAGCCCACATAGCTCAACAAAGATCCAATGCAGCCAAAAATAAATAAAAATAAATTAATTAATTAAAAAAATTAATGGGTCATGATAGTAAAATAAGTTTAAAAGCTGAACAATTTACCAAAAAATATATAAAAATGACTCTTAAACATATTGCAAATATGTCTGATCTCGTAATTTGAGAAATATAAATTTCAATTACACAGAGATATAATTTCTCTAAAATTGATTTAAAAATAAAAACTACTACCACTGTTGTCGAAGCTGAGGGAAACAGGCACTTGCATACATTTCTGGTGATAATATAAATTAGAAAACTCTCATAAAGGGATATTTTGCAATATCTAATAAATATACATAGCTTAAAAAATATGGAACGCTTCACAAATTTGCATGTCACTCTTGGGCAGGGGCCATGCTAATCTTCTCTGTATCCTTCCAATTTTAGTATACATGCTGCTCTTATTATTGAGACAGATACTTTTATCTTCATTATAGAGCACAGGAGACCAAGATTCACAGGGGTTAAGTAACTTGACCAAAGTTACACAATTATAAAGTATCACAATTCTGAGTTTATCCCTGTGATTCTAGCAACCCGATATGGTCAGAGTGTTATCTCATGCTTATCAGAAGTTCTTATTGGTAGTTACATAGGGATTTGATTAATAGACAAGAAAAATTAGTAATTTTTCAATAAATCGTTCACACCTGGTAGCAGCATTTGAAATTACCAACATGAAGACAGACAGCATTTAAAGAGGTCTTTAGCATTCTAAAACACAATTATCTTTGTCTCTTTGACAGGCAATTCATTGAAAAAAAGAAGTTGAGGTATTGTTTTTTTAGATTAAAAGAGCCAAAACTGCAATGTGTCACTTGATTTGATTTCGTTTTGTCAAAGCCATGATAGACATGTTGGCAACAAATTGGGGAATTTGAATATGGACGAAGTGGAGAAAACAAGCAGGAATTATTGTTCATTTTTTGTTACTTTTGATAAAGGTGCTATCCTTAGAAGGAGAATTTTGCAGGGGTGGGGTGCAGAGCTGCAAGTGGTAAAATGAACTATTAGTGGTAAAATGTCATGTGTCTTTATTTTTAAATGATTGAGCTAAACAATATGTAAATAGAGGAAATGTGACAAAATATTGACAATTGTAGACCCTATAGGTGGAGGATACATAGGTGTTCTTTGCGCTACTAGTCCTACTTCTCTGTATATTTTAATGTTTTCATAATAGAATAGAGATTTAAGAAAAGGCCCTTGAAAATCACTGATCTAAAGGGAGGGCTTTAAAGTCATGCCATGGGGTTTGGCTCCTGACAAGGCTTGTATCAAAGACTGAGAGGAAGACAGAGGACCAGATAGTCAAACTTGGGAGGACTAATGATTGATGGAATCTAGATTTGAAAATGGCTGGAATCTAGCCAGGGGAACTTTAATAAGGAAGAATATAGTCATGTATATAGGTTTTTAAAATATTAGCAGCCTGAGGAAAGCATTCAGAACAGCTATTCTCACTAAAAGGACAAAAAGGCTTTAGTTGGTGGCAAGTCAATGTGAGAGAATGAAGTGATGTAGCTGCTAGGACAACTAATGCCCTTTTAGTCTCATTTCTGGAAGCAGGAGATCCAGAACAAGGGAGAGTGATGGTCACACAGCCACATCCGGCCAGGTCACATCTGGAGTTTTAGATTCCACTCTAAGTCCCTTGTTTTGAGTGGCACTGGGATAGGTCCAGAGAGGATGACTGGGCCACATCATTCTAGCCAAAGAACCTGGGGCTCATAAGTTTAAAAAAAGACTAAGGGTCAAAAAGTCCACAAATAATACATGCTAGAGAGGATGTGGAGAAAAACATTTGTATGCTGTTGATGTGAATGTAAATTGGTGTACCACTATGGAAAACAGTATGGAGTTTCCTTAAAAAAACTAAAAATAGAACTACCATATGACCCAACAATTCCACTCCTAGGCATATATCTGGAAAAGACAAAAACTCTAATTCGAAAAGACACATGCACCCCAATGTTCATTGTAGCACTATTTACAATAGCCAGGTCATGGAAGCAACATGAATCTCCATTGACAGATGAATGGATAAAGAAGATGTGGTACAATGTACAATGGAATACTACTCACCCATTAAAAAGGAATGAAATAATGCCATTTGCAGCAACATGGATGGACCTAGATTATCATACTAAGTGAAGTAAGTCAGACAGACAAAGACAAATATTATATATCACTTATATGTGGAATCTAAAAGAATGATACAAATGAACTTATTTACAAAACAGAAATAGACTCAAAGACATAGAAAACAAACCTAAGGTTACCAAGGGGGAGGCGGGGGAAGGGATAAACTAGGAGTCTGGGATTAACAGATACACACTATTGTATGTAAAGTAAGTAAACAACAAGGACCTACTGTATAGCACAGTAGTAACCTATGAAGGAAAAGAATTGGAAAAAGAGTGTATACATAACTGAATCACTTTGCTGTACACCTGAAACTAACAAAATGCTGTAAATCAACTATACTTCAAGTACATAATTAACTATTCATTTATTTTTAAAAAGACTAAGGAGAACATGGTCATGCCACCAAATATTTCAAGGGTTTTGTGCAAGAGACTAGTCCCATGCAGGCAGTGCCATAAAAAAGAAGCAGGTGCACTTGTTGCAATAAAATGAAGCATTTTTGTAGCAGTGCCCAGGAAAGGACTGTGTTTGTTAAATGGACAGCTTGCGTGGATCACTACTGCTCCTGTTTAATGTAAGGAGAACACTGGGGAACTGATGCAAAGAGAGAGGAAAAATAAGTGAAAGTGCTTTGAAAAGCTTAAAATGCTACATAAGCTTGAGACATTTGTCACTACTTGCCAGAACTAGCATTTCAGTAGCAAAACTTCCAAGGGCCAGAGATAAAATTTATCTTTGACCTGGATGCTTGCCTGAACCTTGTATATAGTATCAAGGACTCCTTTGTCTGTTTTTTCAGGAAGATGAGTAATTATGTTGATAGTTTATCAGATTTCCAATTCCAAAGCTAGAAATCTCCCTGGCAACTCTTGAAGGGTTTTTTTTTCTTTTCTTTTCTTCATTTCCTCTTTTTTTGTTGTTTTTGAGTCAATGAAAAACGTTCATGTGGTTTAAAACTCAAAGAGTAAAGAAGGGTGTACTATGAAAAATCTCCTTCTGTCAATTTCTGTCCTCTAGCCATTCAGTTCCACTCCTAAGAGCCAACTGATGTTACCCAGTATCTTTCTTGTTTTTTAGACACTCTTACTCTTCATGTAGTTTTCTCCATGTGAGAATCTAGGAAGCAAGGAGAGAGTCCTCCTCTCTGTCCTCCTCCTTGCTCCTCTCAGATTCTCAGCAAGGAATCTGAAAGTCACTGACTCTCTGGCCATGTGACATCCCATAGGATGGTCACTGTTACACAGGACCCAGGGGAGGCCAATCCCAAGAGGTTTCGGAACAAGTTTTCCTCGAAACTGCAAACATTTGCCAATGCCTTATTTCAGCATTCTGCACTCCACTGGCCAGGCAGTTAAACCTCTTGCCAAAGACTCTGCAAAGAACAAGAGATAACATTGTGTGTGGGTGAATATGTCTATTTCTCCTCTGACCAACTTTCCTGACGAGGTCACACAATTGCACCTTTGTTCCTGTCCAGAGGGCTGGACAGTTGGTGCTATGAGAACGTTATTGCTGCAATCACCAGGGTTCAGTTTATAGCAGAGAGTAACTCATGCTTATTCCCATACTGGCCTGTACCCATGCTCTTCATTTGTGTATATGTGTGTTGTTTCTCCAATGATAAGTTAGTCAAAGGCAGGGTCCTAATACCTAAACCCTTTGTATCCTCAGATCCCCAAATACAAGGATCTCACCTCTTATTTTTTTCATATTGCTTAGCAACTGAGAAATGGATTTTCTTCCTTCTAAGTATCTCTTGCGTATGTGTCTGGGTAGCTCCCGTGGGGATATGGTGGGAGCATGAGATATTGTTCTCATCCTCATGAAGTGACACATTTTTTCTAGAGAGGCAAGAATTACACGTATGATATAGGGACAGTACTTACTAAGGTGAGAAATTAAGATGGGCTTGAGGGGGACATGGTTGAAACATGATTGATCATCTCAGTTTTTTCTAGAGATTAGTTAAGTTTTATCCATTTCTTTAATCTCGATTCTTAAGACTGTAGTTTATAGATTCATTAACAGAAACAAGTTTGTCCTTCCTCTTCTTCCTGGAAATTTTCTGTATTCTGTTGGGCAGGGCCGTCCTCATCCTTCAGACCTCCCCCAACTGGAGTAGCTACATCCACACAGGACATTCTAGACAGGGCTTCCTTAGGAGGAGACAAGGCCATTCTGCCAACCCTGTTACACTTCTGCTCCCTGGAGTTATATGATTCTTGCACATTTTCAGGTAGATGGGCAGCTCTAGTGTGTAATACCACAGGGCCCAGGAGCCAACAGACCCTTGACAGGCCTCCCATGAGCTTTGACAGTCGGGGGCCAGGGAAAAGATGAGTGACCCTGATGAGGGCAGAGGCAGTAAAGGCCTGTGGGATTTCCCAAGGTTAAACTGGGGACTGGAGGTGACAATGGCTTTGTGTTACATACTTGATTTTTTGCATGGATTCTCTTAAATACAGAATTTCTCTCCATTTCTGGCAGTAAAAGAATTGTGCTGAGGGGCTTCCCTGGTGGCGCAGTGGTTTAGAATCTGCCTGCCAGTGCAGGGGACAAGGGTTTGAGCCCTGGTCTGGGGAGATCCCACATGCCGTGGAGCAACTAGGCCCGTGAGCCACAACTACTGAGCATGCGCGTCTGGAGCCTGTGCTCCGCAACAAGAGAGGCGGCGACAGTGAGAGGCCCGCGCACCGCGATGAAGAGTGGCCCCGCTCACCGCAACTAGAGAAAGCCCTTGCACAGAAACGAAGACCCAACACAGCCAAAAATAAATAAGTTAATTAAAAAAAAAAAAAAAGAATTGTGCTGATTGATTGCTTTTTAAGTTCCCTGTTGGGGTGAAGGAAGATAAAAAGTAGGAGTAAGTCTGACTCATGTCTGTAGATTTTTATTATAACAAGCGTCATTTATTTTTAAAACAGCAAAATCTGGCTTTAGCCTTGAATCAAACAAGTCTACCCAAGATTATCCATGTTAAAAAATAAATCTGAAGGGCTTCCCTGGTGGTGCAGTGGTTAAGAATCTGCCTGCCAATGCAGGGGACACGGGTTCAAGCCCTGGTATGGGAAGATCCAGCATGCTACGGAGCAACTAGGCCCATGTGCTACAACTACTGAGCCTGCGCTCTAGAGCCCATGAGCCACAACTACTGAAGCCCACGCACCTAGAGCCTGTACTCCATGACAAGAGAAGCCACCGCAATGAGAAGCCCACACAGCGCAACAAAGAGTAGCCCCTGCTCGCCGCAACTAGAGAAGAAGCCTGTGTGCAGCAACAAAGACCCAATGCAGCCAAATTAATTAACTAATTAATTAAAAAGTCAATACCACCAAATTTTGAAAAACTGCTGCTGCCTTCTCTCTAATCTCTGCCAAGGGACCAGATTTCTCAGGTAGGTGAGTTAAGCATCCTGGCATCCCTTTCCCTGGAAGGCTGGAGATGCAAGGGTATATGCTGTATATTAGATGTTCTCAAAGCATGGTCTGGGGACCCCTGGAGTCTCTGAAATCCTTTTTGGGATTTCTGTGAGGTCAAAATTATTTTCATAATAACACTGAGATGTTATTTGCCTTTCTTACTTTTCTTGCCTCCCAAGGGTATGGTGGAGTTTTCCAGAGGCTACATGACATGTGATGATGTTATCACTCTGATAGAAACTGGAAGGTGTACTGTGTATTTTTGTGTTTTTAAATTTCTCCATTTTAATTTATAGTATAATTGTCAGTGGATATAACCCACTATTTAGGAGTGCAAAAGGTTCCTAAGATCAAAAATTTTAAGAACCATGATATAGACCAGGAGTCCCCAACCCCCAGGCCGCAGACTGGTACCGGCCTGTGTCCTATTAGGCACCGGGCCGCACAGCAGGCGGTGAGAGGCGGGCTAGCGAGCAAAGCGTCATCTGCGGCTCCCCATCGCTCGCATTACTGCCTGAATCATCCCTCCCACCGCCCCACTGCCCCGGTCCGTGGGAAAATTGCCTTCCACAAGACTGGTCCCTGGTGCCAAAAAGGTTGGGGACTGCTGATATAGACCATCATTCTCACTCACCATGCTAGAACACTAGCAAACACCATACTGTTATTCTTTTTGATGAGAGTTTGGAAACACCCAAGTATTCTAGATGAAGACTTCTTAAAGAGATTTAGGAAGCATTCTACCTGTCTAGGTACATAATATTCAGATTACCTCAAAAGCTCTAAATAATTGTGCTGGGGGCTTGTATCCTCCCCTAATGTATGGGTATAGGTGCCCCAAATCCTTTTACTGGATATGCTAATTTGCAAAAAAAAAAAAAAAAAAAAGAGAAGGAAACATCTTTATCTGTGATTTGTCTGTCCTTTGACAATCATCTGAAATGGGATCATAATTCACACATACAGCTTTCACCTTGAAAGGCAGTGCGTGCTATTTTTGGAATTCCTGAACTCTAAATGAACTGAAACCAAGAATCCATGGCCTACCAGGAATATAGGGCAATCAAGCAAGTTTTTCTGGTTTGGGAGTCTGTGTGTGTGCCTGTTTGTGCCCACGTGCGCACAAGAAATGAGGTCAGTTTGGTCACCAGGCCATTTGTTAGATATTTCTGAATCCCATTCTTCAAACACAGTCAGCACAGAGGTTGGTTCTCACATGTTGGTCCAGTGCCCATTTAGTCAGGAGCTTGAGATTCCATAAGGCCACTGCCTCCTAAGCAATGGAAGCGACCTTTTTGTTTTTTTAATAAATTTATTTATTTATTTTTATTTATTTATTTTTGGCTGCGTTGGGTCTTTGTTGCTATGTGCAGTCTTTCTCTATCTGCAGCAAAAGGGGGCTACTCTTCATTGTGGTGCGCGGGCTTCTCATTGCGGTAGCTTCTCTTTCTGCGGAGCACAGGCTCTGGGCGCGCGGGCTTCAGTAGTTGTGGCACGCGGGCTCAGTAGTTGTGACACATGGGCTTAGCTGCTCCGCGGCATGTGGGATCTTCCCAGACCAGGGCTCGAACCCGTGTCCCCTGCATTGGCAGGCGGATTCTTAACCACTGCGCCACCAGGGAAGTCCTGGTCTTTTGTTTTATACAAGCCCTCCTGAAGCTGGGCATGGAGCATGTATGCCCATAAATATAATAGTTACAAGCCTAGACTCTTCCTTTGTCTCCCTCACACACATGGACTATGACAGAGTTGGAGATATATATCCTCAAACTAAAGTAACCAAACTACCAAATACAAGCATTTGTTTTGGATTCGACTGAACACAGATTAGATGAACATCTGTTATATGCAAGGCACTAAAGAAGGCGGCATGAGGAAAGCAAAACAGACACTGTTCCTGTCCTCAAGGGTGGCAACAGCTAATCACCTGTCATTTTCCAGTTACTGCATCCCAGTATCCTCTGTCATCTATCAGAGTTAACTGACAGAGATAAGGACAGAGGGTGACCTCCTTTTCTCTCTTTTATTCTTATTAGGCTGAATTCATGAGGGACCTCCTGGGGCCATCTTTAGCCCCCTGTCCTGAAGGAAGAAATAATTTTCACAGAAATTTCATGTCTTAGAAACAGAAAGATTTTGTCTATTATAAAGAATCTTTAGCAAAGTAAAATGAACGACACTCAATATGTTCCATTTTAATCAACATATCTTTATAATCATGGACATTAAACCATTTTGTTTTTAGGAGAAATGAGTGATAAGACAATGGCAAGAGCTAGAATTCTAGCAACAGTTAGGAAGGCAAAACTGAGTCATCATTTTTTTTTTTTTTTTTTTTTGCGGTACTTGGGCGTCTCTCTGTTGTGGCCTCTCCCGTTGTGGAGCACAGGCTCCGGACGCGCAGGCTCAGCGGCCATGGCTCATGGTCCCAGCCGCTCCGTGGCATGTGGGATCCTCCCGGACCGGGGCATGAACCCATGACCCCTGCATCGGCAGGTGGACTCTCAACCACTGTGCCACCAGGGAAGCCCCTGAGTCATCTTTTTCATGCTGAGAGGAAGTGATGAGAAGGCACTAGTGTCAGAAACTGGCTTGGTGAGGATGCTTTCTCTCTGAGAGTCTGGAAGCGGATGAGCTCCGACCACTCACTGCCTCATTGTCTTGCCCACTGGTTCCTTTCTGGGCAAGGAAGAGAGTTGCATGTCCTGCAGTGTGTCGTAGGCATCTGACAGCAGTCCACGGGAGACAGCTGTTCTGGGGCCCAGAATGGGCAGTCTGTAGCGAGCGCCCTCTGGAGGACAGTGTAAGAAGGAAGGACAAGGGCTCCTTAGAGTCTATTTTTAAAATCTACTCAAAATAACCGATGTCACCAAAGACTTCTTTAACCTTATAAAACAGCTTCAAAGTTCACATGAGAATCCATTTTACTAGAACCATCTTAGCCCCCACCAACTTGAGCTTTTACAAATCTTGACAAAGAGGCCAGAAAGGAGTGCTTAGAAACATAACTCAAATATTTGGAGACATTGCCAATTAAATTATAAATGAAGGGGGCTTCCCTGGTGGCGCAGTGGTTGAGAATCTGCCTGCTAATGCAGGGGACACGGGTTCAAGCCCTGGTCTGGGAGGATCCCACATGCCGCGGAGCAACTAGGCCCGTGAGCCACAACTACTGAGCCTGCGCGTCTGGAGCCTGTGCTCCGCAACAAGAGAGGCCGCGACAGTGAGAGGTCCGCGCACCGTGATGAAGAGTGGCCCCCGCTTGCCGCAACTGGAGAAAGCCCTCGCACAGAAACGAAGACCCAACACAGCAAAAATAAATTAATTAATTAATAAAACAAAGGACTAGTCTTTGCCAAAGAATGATTGAAATTTAAAAAAATATTATAAATGAAGATCAAGTGTGTCTGGAGTTGTAACACAGGTCAAAGGGAAAAGAGGATTCAATTCTCAGAAGACTTTTCAGGGACACGTATATGGTTCTGCTCTTCAAACAAACGTGATCTTATGAAAGGCTACAGTAGTGGAAAAGTCTTGTATTTCAAAAGGAAACTTCATTTTATGAAATAATTTATTTTAGTGCTCCTTAAAATCCTTACCATCCTGACCTCTTCTTTGAATATGAGTTTATATACAGGAAGTTGGTTAATATTCAACTCTTTGAAAATACTCATTGTGCAGGAGAGTAAATCAGTGCATAAAATAGCATCTTCCCATTGGAAATCACTGAATGACTAAGGGAACTGGAGTCCTGAATTCTCTGGAAGAAGCTCTTTAGTCCAGCTGAATGAGAGCTAAGAGATGTCACAAGATCACAAACCTAGGACCCAGTTCAGTGTCATTGCTGTAATGAAGAGGAAACAGGTCCAGGGTCATGACGGACTGAGGACCAGAACCCAGATCTCCTTAATCCTAACCCTCTGTGCCATATCTCAGCACTGGGCCAGGTGGTAGACCTAAGTCAGGTGGTTAGTAGCTCTACCAATGTTTATGGACAAGAGCCTGTGAGTGTCATAGAACTCTGGACTCAAGGCCAAAGTCAAGATAAACAAATCCAGAAAAACCCCATCACTTACTAGAGATAGGCTCTTTCCATTTACTTAGTTCTCACTAATAATTATTGAGGACATATCAAGTTTAGCTGAATCCAGAAAAATACTAGAGATTACTGTCATGATCAACAGAATGAGTTAGACAGTCACTGGCAGGGATGGTCGCTGGGATGAGTCAGCCATTTGGTGTTTGCAGCATGTCCACAGGCTACGTAGCACAGGGACATGTCTAAACTGTATAAACCAGTGGGGCTGGGGCAGTGTCAGCAGGTTTTCTGGGTCAGTCAAAGGTGAAGGCTGCTTGTACTGAGCGTCTGGCTCTTGCGGGTGGTGGTGGGCAAAATGCTTCTCTGGTTTTAAAGGTGGGAACACAGAGACCCAGATAGTTTCAACAATATGGCCAAACCTGTCTAGCAAGACTAGGATGTGAATGCAGGTCTCTTTGCTCCTAGGATTTTTCTTTGACCTCAGAGAGCACACACAAGAGCAAAGCTCAGCTCAGAAGGGTTGCAACTGGAATCAACTGCAGATCTACCAAGCTTCAGCTCCATAAGCACTCTCTCTGAAGTCTCACCTCCAACACTGCTGCCCTTGAATGAACTCTATGGGCAAGAACGAGGTCTGTCCAGAACATAATGTGCTGATCTATGTGCACTGAGTCTAGTTCTCACACTGGTAATTGAAATACACTCCCAGGGTTAATAAATTGATGAAAGGCATCTTGTCACACGGTCCTGTAGAATCAGATAATAAACATTCCTGCTGAGGGAAGGGCATGTAATTGTGTGTGAGTGTGTGTACACGTGTATGTGTGTTTTATCCTTTGTGAGGCAGACCTGAAAAAAAATTCAGGTTTAAGGGAAACTCAGAATGAATGTATGGCTGGTACGGAGAACCCTGAAACCAACTGCACATGCCTGTCACCCAGTGTTCCCGAGGCTTCAGGAGAATGAAGTGGCTGCAGGCAGATGGGGGCAGCTTTCATTGGGAGGATGCTCTTAGCTCTTGGAAATTCAGTCCACTTTGGCTAAATGAAAGTCACGAGTGAGGCCAATATTTTTGGATACATAAGAAGGGATTGGGACTATAGCAGTCTTTCACTCCGCTAGAGTGGTTATCTCCTAACCTCAGCTGTCGCCTGAGTCTCTGGTCCTCCCTCTTGACATCCCTTCAAGATATCCCTTCTACCCTCAAATGTCCTTTCTTGATGTCCTCTCAGTTCAGTTCTGGCTCTAGCTTCTCTGCAACCACCCAGGATAGAGATTAGACTTTCCCATCAGTACAAAGTGAACTTGATTTTCCTTACTGTGTGTATCAAATAAGAGAAAAACTGAAAGTGGCTTCAGTTAATCTGGGAGCAAATGAGAAGATGGACAAAGTTACTAAAGTGGCAGCCTATATTGCATTAAACCCTTGAATCATATCACTCCAAAGAATGACCCACCTCCTCTTTGCCAGCCCAGTGTTGGCTTCTCTAAAAGATAAGACTTAGGTCAATGCTGAAGCTGGAGATAGAGTTGTGCTGTCCTTTTTTTCCATACCAGCACATGAACATAAGAATAGCACTGGGAAGCTGCCAGGGGAAGGCAGGTGTTCTAGGGAGCCTGTGGAAGGGAGGGCTCAGGGCTTGGCGAGGCCATGCCTTGGGTGTGGGGACACATTTCCCTTCCCAGCTTAACTGGTACTATCAAGACTGCCTGAGAAGGGAATTATCTACTTTGTGCCCCATCCCTACAGACATTCTTCAGCAAGTGGATTATGGGGCTCTTTAGAAAGAATGGGGCAGAGCCCTGTGGCGTGGAGAGGACCTGGGAAGGAACACACCATGGATAAATGCAAGTGAGGCCTGAAGAGGGGACAGGTAGGGCTGGAGTGAAGGGAGGGCTGTGGACCTGGCGAAACAGGTCAATAAGCAGTACGTGAAAGAGAAGGGATGGAGAATGGGAATTTGTTCAGAAAATTTAGAAATTATCTTAGGTGTTACTCTGGGGGTGGTATGTCTCCCACTACAAGTACTCCAAAAGAAAGCAAACCTGTTGGGATGTCATCACGAGGACGTCTGGGTACAGTCTGGGCCTTTGGTGGATGAAGACTCATCATTCTGACTGGAAGAAGCAAGAATACACATTAGTGATTTGGCTAGAGCTTGGTGGAAAGGAATGTGTCATTGTACATTTTAAAACACAGGTGGTCTCTCGACCCCAGCACCTGTTAACCTGGTGCTCAGACCACCTGGGAGCAGTGTGAGATGACTGGCCAAAGACCACCACTTCTGAAGCTCTTTTTACTTTAGTAGTATTTTCATGGATTTTGATAAAACCTTCATTTAAAAAAATGTTTTATTCCACTGTCAGATAATATATGGTCTGAAAATAGAAGGGATTAAGGAGAGAATCTTCCAGTTCTCAGAAAAAAAAGTAACAACACTTCCAGATCAGTGCAAAACTGAGAATATTTTTTTAGAACCTTCCAATTCTCAAGAAAAATGTCTTGATCACTCCCTATTTCTCCTGGTGGCTGAGACTGTGGAAGTGACCTTCAACCAAAAGGTATATAAGCTCAAACCATTTCTACTTTATTTTAAATTGTTTCATTTCTAAAGACTGACCAATCTGTAAACTTGTATGGGCAATCTACGTCTCTACATTCATTTCCTGGTATCTACTTCCACAGAGGTTTTCCAGGATTATTTTTACTTTGCTACCAAAAATGTGGTCAGTCCAGTCAGTTAATTTTATTAAATTGCCATTGGAGGACTCACTGGGACTAAGAAAAAGAAAAATCCCTTCTATTACCCATTTTGGGCAAACAAGAAGGTGGTATTTGTAAGATTGAATACTTTAAGATCTGTCTATACTATAATTCAACAAATATATATCTATCTGCTCATACTTATTTCCTCTCTCTTTTCCTCCCTCCCTCCCCTTTTTCCTTCATTCCTTCCAGTCAACAAACATCATTTAATTCCTACAATGGCTATAATTAAAGTCACTTTAAAAATTATTTCAGTAAGGACAATTCCAATCTGCTTATATATGTAGTGAGATTTAAAAACTGTGAGGACAGATTTTATAAGCTACAAACAGAACGAGGACCTGACTTTAGAGTCACACTAGCTAAATCTCAAACAGAAGTAGGATGTTGTCCTTCACTACACTGAAAAAAAAAAAGACCAATCTAATGATACTTCTGTCTGGAATTGACATGATTTTAGGATTGGTTCAAACTTCAGTCTTAGCTTTAAAGGAATAAGAGCTTGTTTTAAAAAAACACACACACAATTAATGACTCAGGATTTGAGACTTTCTTTAAAGTACCAAACTTGCAAGATAAATAAATTGGAACAAAACATTTCAAAAGTCTCTTTCATAGAAGAGTACCTTTGGCTCAGAAATTCCAGTTTTCCATTTAAAGTCTGTAAGGAATATTTTTTAGAATGACTTTTATTGTGATCCAATATAAGAGCACTTAAATAGTATAGAGTCGGGGGGGGCAGTAAATGTCACTAGTGCTGGAGTCTGTAATGCTCAAATACACATTTCTTCCACGGCCCTGTCTACTTGGGCCAGGACGTGGTTTTGGTGTATCTGACTCTATATTTTAGTTTGTACAAATGGCTCTGAGCTCATACAGGGAAATATAACAACTCCTGCTGTCATCTAAGGTTACAAAAAGACCTATTTATTTTCCCACGTTACTGCTCTCTGTAGAGGACACAAATTAAAGATTGCCATTAGATCACATGTAACTTTTCTGTTTAGTCATATGGAAGGGTGACTGTATGTTTACATTTCAACCATCTACCGCAAGGCAAGTCCACCTATCTTGGTGCCTTATCCAGGGTGACTCCACGTTTTGAGTTTTTTAATAAAGTGAAAACTTAGTCCTTCTTCCCGGTCTGGTAGTTAAATGCAGAAAAAACCCTGAAATCCAACTAATCCAACTTTGACTGGATTTTATTTTTGATATATTTGATCTTGATAAGAAAGCAGCAAATGACAACAAACTGATAACAGTAATTTTAGTCAATATAATGTAGCAGAGGCTGTCTTAGACTCAAGAAAATTTATGTGCAACCTCCCATACTTTATGAATTAGATATGTCTTCCACATGGAGAATTTGTATTTAGTTCTGCCTAAGTTTTATCAAAGAGATCTCCTATCCTATGCCTTGTACTATTCTTATGAAGGTAGAAAGGAAGATTATAGTTTCTACAGTAGTTTCCATAGCTGTTCAGGCAAAGAGGTTAAAAACAACTTTTTTTGTCTAACTGTGTACTATAACCAGAAAATGAAACCACTCAAGAAGCTCATCCCTAAAGCATTCCCTAAGCATTTTACTTATTGTATTTCTCAATCCACAACCGATATAACCAGATACAAAGCTGTGTCCTAATTTAAATCTTTGAGTTACCTATGACTCATAGTATTTGCTATGGACAGTTGCTAAAGGATAGTTTCAGATCATCTGGGATTATCATAGTTCTTGATTGCACCAATGGAAGAAAGTCCCATGCAGAACAATGCCCCAAACTGCATTCTAATTTAAAGAAATAACGTACTGCCTTAGCAAACTCAGGTTGTATTTAATATGAGTCATTAATAAATCATTTTCTGCTTTCGCCTTTCTCTTGTTAAATTTATTCCTAAGTAGTTTACTTTTTTGATGCTTTTATAAATGGAATTGTTTTCTTAATTTCAGTTTTGGATTGTCCACTGTGAATATCTAGGAATCAAATTATTTTCTGTGTATTGATCTTGTGTCTTGTGACTCTGCTGTACTCATTTATTAGCTCTAGCAGATTTTTTATGGATCCCTTAGGACTTTCTATATATAAAATCACATCATCTGCAAATAGAGTTTTATGTTTTCCTTTCTAATCAGGATACCTTTAATTTCTTTTTCTTGCCTTAACTGTCCTGACTAGAACGTACAGTACAATGGTGAACAGCAGTGGCAAGAGCACATATCCTGGTCTTGTCCCTGGTCTTAGGGGAAAATATCCAGTCTTTCCTCACTAAGTCCGTTGTTAGCTGTGGGTTTTTTGTAGACACCCTATATCAAGTTGAGGAAGTCCCTTCTATTTTTAGGAGTCTTTTAATACTTTCCCAGTATCTCCGCTCAACCCCCTGCAGAGAATGGAGGGGTCTCAGTGACAACAGCAGACAGACAGCCCCTCCTCTCCCCAGTCCCCGCCCCAGAAGGAAGGGGAGCTGTTACTGCACATAGTGAGACAAGGGTATTTCACGCTCATTTTCTATCATTTCCCACCAGGGTCTGTGAGCCCCGGTTTCGACAATGGTAGGGAAGGGCCCTTGGGCACTTTTGTGTCTGAGGCCCTTCCTTTGGGCATCTGCAGGAATGGTAAAACCACGGTGTGTGCTTCCACTTGGGGCAGGTTTGGGCAAGAGTAAAGGTCAGAAAAGACGTCTTGAGAAAGAGAACATGTGACAAGGTCCCAAGTGAGCCAGCTGGCCAGGGCCCGCTTAGGCCTGGCGTCAGGGCATTCTAAATGTGGACACAGTGATTCCAGGAATGAGACCAGGAGAAATCCCAATCCCAGCTTCTCAGATCCCAGTCAATGCTAATATTGAACACTGTGATCCTAATTATGCAGAACATGAACAGAGGTCGGAACATCCAGGTACACCTTTGATGGTAGCTTCAGTTAAATTTCCAAATCCCACACGACAACCCAGAGAAGTGCTTGCTGGTTGGAAGCAGTTTTGCCATGAACTCATCAAAGGAGCCTCTCTCATGTCTCCTGTTTGTCTTCCACTCCTTGTCCTTCCTCTTTCTGTACATCTAGCCCCACCTTCCTCCCCGAGTCAAAGGAGAATCACAGGCTATTAGAACTGGAGAGACTCTTCCCAAACCCTAACCTAACCGTTTAGCTGAATTAACCTTCCACCCAGCCTGTGCTCGCTCTGAAGGCCCCTAACCCTACCCCCTAAACTGACCCAAGTCCTAGCTCCAACATGTACAGCACCCCCCAAAACACGCCTCTTTCTTCAGCAGCTCTGATGGCAGAGCTACGTAATTGTGGAGCCCACATCCCTCCGATAGCCTTTCTTTTCCTAAAACTCCCCCCACCCGCCATCCCCCCCACCAGTTACAAACGACCCCTATAGCCAGGAAGAGCCAGAGAACCTCTCCCCAGCTCCACCACCACTGTGGTCGTGTCTGAATTTACGACAAACCCCAAGATGAAGCTGCTTGTTTCATGGTTGTGATGCTGGAGTGTTGTGCTGGAGACATGGTAAGGGGGAGAAGAGGCTCCACAGCCTCCGGCACCTCTGTAAGGCGCAGTTACCCGACGAGCCCAAAGCAGCATGGCTCATCTCGCCTCTTCCCCTCTGGCCCAAGCTGCCTTGGTTCATTTATCATTTGGTTTGTTGTAAATGGGGAGATTTACCATATCGTGTCAGGAGGCGGTGTTCCCAGGACCAGCAGCTGCTCATCTGCAGCCCTTCCTGCAAAGCCCCGTCATGGTCTCTCTGCTGGGCTTTGGTGGGGAAGGGGTAGAGCTGTGCCCTGGGGATGCTCACGCCCATGTCTGCCATCCTCCACGACTACCGTTTTCATTTCTCGACACGTGGAGCACAGCTGCTTGTTTCTGATCAGCGTGGGGTCTCTCCGGTTCCTCTCAGCCTGTGCGGAGAGAGAGAGAGAGAGAGGTGAGGAAATGGTGGGGAATCTGGGGCAGCAAAGAAGTGGGTAAGGGGTGGAGGGGTGAGAGAAGTAACCGTTATTTCTTCCATGAAACAGAGATGGACACTTCGGTCTCAGCCCCATCTCGGTGGATATGAAACCCAGGCTTGTCTGTGGCTGGTAAATTCAGAGAGGGTTTAGGCAGGAGGGGTTGACCCACAGACTAAATGGTGACCTCGGGCCCCTGCGTGCAGTGGAACAGGAATAAGACAGCTGGCAGCGGGGATGGGGCTGGGGGCTGAAATCCAGGTAGGTCCCTCTTTCCAACCCGAGCACGCAGTCTGAGGGGCTGCGCTCTCTCGTGGGTGACACACTTCCTACATTTCATACAAAAGTTCCACCATCTGGACTAGTTGAAGACCTCTGAGGGCCTGAGAAAAATGAATAGGAGACTTCTGCAAACCTCCCTTCTCTGGTCCCTCTGAAATCCGACCCTCTTTTCTCACGCCTTCACTTTGGCCTGACATCAGCTCTCAAGCCTGCACTGCCCAGCACCACGTGGCCCTTCTGCACCTCCCCGGAGCCGCTGATCAAGCCATAGGCAGAACTGGAGCTGGTGTGTGGGTCCTGAGCCCGCTCCCTCCCCTAGAGGAGGGAGGCAAAGAAACCACCAGTGCAGGGAGAGTGGGGCACCCCTTCTGCTCACTGGAACCCCTGCTTCCTTTCTGACTCCACTTCTGCCAAAGGGTGGAAGAGTGGGCTTCGGGGCATTTCCACCTGAAACACAGGCTTCTCATTCGCATGACTGATGACAGCTTGGTTAGGGAGCAAATGGCAGCTTGAGGTTAACATGCCGTCTGGGGATTCTCTTACCCTTCCCCAACCACACTGACACCAGAGTCGTGAGATAGGTTCTCAGGAAGCATAGAATTCAGGGGAGAGGAGGGCCCACAGGGACAAGCAGACAGTCACTAGGAACTGAAGTCTCCTCTTTCATGAGGTCGAGTTGGTGACCTAGCACTGCAGGTGTGCACGCCTGTGCCCTGATCTGCTCCTGGGCTGCCCTATGGGGTGTGTGCAACAGGAAAGGAGGAATATACCTGTGCAGCGTGGGGAGTGAGTGCCTGGGCTGTGCTCCTAAGGTGACTTTTGCTAGATTGTCTCGTAAGAGACACATGGCGCTTGGGTGCGGCATTATTGGGGATCGAGGACTGTAAACGATGTACCACGTTGGATTCTTTTGACAAATATTTAAAATACATTTAATATGTACAGGCCATTTGCAAAGAATCAACTCAGTATCCCCACACTGTGGGCTGGCACGGGAAAGCATGAGTGGGAACGGCTAGATTTATCATTCAGCAACAAACCTTCTTTGTGAGGCCACCATGTAGAGGACGCTGTGATGGAGTCACAAAGGTGAATAAGAAGGTTTCTGGCCCAAAGGAAGGCCAGGGAAGAACGCAGACTTATGTATTTGTCCATTCGCTACGTACTGGGGACACCAAGATAAAGAAGACACAGCTTCTGACTGCAAGCTGCTCACCACCCAGCAGCCTGGGTACCAAGAGGTGTGCTGGTGTTGAAGGGCAGAAATATACTGAGGCCACAGGGGAGTGGAAGGGAGGCGCTGAGCTCATCTGGTGGGAGTGGGGCGTCAAGGAAAGGGTCTGAGGAAGGTTGAAAGAACAGGCGGTGCTCAGATAGGTGTTGGAGGTGGTGAGCAAGGAGGGAGGTGGCATTCCAACCTAGGAACACTGTGCAACAGCATGGAAGAAAGACCTGGCCAACCCGCTTCAGGTAAGTGAGGACAGCCTGGAACGGCCAGTTGTCTGTGGGAGGAGGGAGGAGGGAGGAGGGAGGCTGGAGAGGACCCCCACCCCCACCCCGCCCACCATCAAGCCCATCAAGCCCCCCTTCCCACCCCCCGGGGATGACTCTTTTACTCTTCTGGGCCGATTCAACCTCCTACCTTATCTTCCCTGTACCCTGGGGGTGGGATCTCCTGGGGCCCAGGCTTTTCCCACTGTCCCTCACATCTTTCAGTTCTGAGACTAAGACACTGGTCTGAAATTGCGATTCAAGGCTGGATGTGCCAGGTATCACTGAAGAAGCAAGGATGCTTCTGGGCCTTCAGCAAAGAGAGCGACTGCATCCCACGTGAGGAATCAGGAAGGGCTTCTGGAAGTGGCATCTTTGCTTGGTCTGAAAGGATGAGGAAGGCCTGGATGCTGGAGGTGGGGTGGGAATGTTCTCAGGCAGGTTTGGTTTTAGTCGAGTTAGAAGCGGATGCTTGTCTTTCCTGCAGTTGGTTCTGCCACCTTTTCCGGACTTCTGGTTTCTGCATAAGAATACACCAGACCCGACGGACTGGAATCACGGGGTTCATGGCAAACCAAGCAACAGACACGCATGGAGCACGGCAGGAGCTTGCTAGGTGAATGACAGCTGAAACTGTGACTCCAGAGACCCCCACCATGGGCTTCCCTGGTGGCGCAGTGGTTGAGAGTCCGCCTGCCGATGCAGGGGACGCGGGTTCATGACCTGGTCTGGGAAGATCCCACATGCCGCGGAGAGGCTGGGTCCGTGAGCCATGGCCGCTGAGCCTGTGCGTCCAGAGCCTGTGCTCCGCAATGGAAGAGGCCACAACAGTGAGAGGCCCGCGTACTGAAAAACAAAAAAAACACAAGGTGCCCCACCACGATGACTGTCATCCTTTGGAATCTGAGGGGAAAAATGCCATATATGTTGCCCTATCTGGCCTTGTTAACTCCTTACCCTTTATGATATAGCTTAGATGTTTCTTTCTCAGAAAATCTTTCTCCTGACCCCCTTACCTGGGTGTCTGCCTCTCGGGTTCCATCACAGATTTGGTATAACTCTTGTTGCAATTTGTACTGTTATCCTTTTTTTTTTTTTAATGTGTTTGTTTCCTCCTCCAGGCTGAGAGTTCTTTAAGAGCAAGAACGTATCTCACACATCTTTGGATGTATAAGAGGCTGACTTCCAATTTTCTCACCACCGAGAACTCTTTTTATTATTTCTTTCCGCTTGACTTAAGTTTTCAAAGCTCGTGATCACCACAGGAACTACCTTGCGTACTCCTAAGTCCTTCTCCTGTTTATGTTGATCAAACATGTATAACAACAAGTACAAGTTTCCAAGGGAAGTACTGATGAACACCACTGACCCGAAATAGGACAGGAATCTAGAACCCGTCTCGGAATCGGCACACAGTAGGCATTCAACATATGTTGGCTGAATGAATGAATCAGTGTAAACGTTTTAAGCTCTCAGGTATAAACAGAGACATGACCAGCATACATGTATGTCCATAAATCCCTACAAGACACACATGTGTGACGATCACTATTATAACAGCACTGTGCTCAGGGAAACATTACAGGACATTTGTGTGCAACAAATTCATCTGTACCAAATTCTTAGGAAACGCAGAGGCTGGAAGCAAATTGTTCGGCTCCAGACCTGGCGCTGAGAGATTTGGCCGTGGTCAGTCACAGATACGCCCTGGGCCTCCCATCCCCCTGGTGCTGCTGGTTTCTGCAGCCAATAGGCCAGAGGCCAACTCTAATCCTGCCCACGCTGTCTATGTAGAGAAGAAAAAGTCTTTGATGTGTGGCTTCAGTCACCTCTGCCAGGAAAGTGGCAGTGACTCCGCCTGAGACTCACTGTCAGCCAAAGCCTCATCCCTGAGAAGAGCCACTGCATCCCTCCTCACTTGGAGAGGCGGGCAAGGGCCCTGGGGCTGTCTGTGCAATGTGTTTGTTAGGCAGCCGTGATGGGCAATCCTGCCTGGCCTGTCTACACAGCAGCCGACGCAGACAGTTTGGGATTCTGTGTTCTCCCTGGGCCTCAGCTTCCTTCCTCAGCCCTGAAACCAAGGCCTTTTCCTTCCTCAGCACGTCCTTCTCACTCCCGGTTTCCCTCGGGCCCGCTCAGCACACTAGCAGGAATGGAGAGTGAACTGGCCGGTGGTTCTGAGCACAGGCCCCCCAGCTGTATCATCTGTATAGTCAGAGCCACCAAGAAAGGAGGCTCGGAAATGTTCATGGGGTTCTCGTTTCCCGAGCAGCTGTCCCCAGGAGAGCAGATGGCAGTGTGACAGGACAGCCAGGACAAGGCGTGACGCAGAGCTCAGCTGGGCCCCAGAAGCCGAAGCCTGCTCTTCAGACCTCACACCTGGAAACACCTTCGTATCTGAGCTCAGTGTCTGCTCAGGTGCCTAAGCTCCGGCTCGTGGCCCAAGTCCTTGGCCTCCTTGAATCTTTGGGAAAGAAACAGAATTGTTTCTCCCTCTCCCTCCCTCTTCCTCTCCTCTGTCTCTGTCTCTCTCACACACACACCTGTCCACATAACAAAAACTGAAAAATGGAAGCACCAGATGGCAATTTTAAAAATAGGACCACAAGCATGAGTCAAGGGGCACCAACAAATGTGCCTCTGACCTCGCCCAAGGCCTCTGCTCCTTTCCTCCTTCCCTCTCCTGCCTTAACTGGGAGGCACCTCATCAGTCACCTACTTCAACTCTTTCCTTGAACACAGTGAGGAAACTGGCCCAGAAAGGTCCAGTGGCACATACATTTAGTTTCCATGAGCCAGAAAGTTCTTTGGATAAAGGGTCAAAGAAAGACTACCTTTTCTCAGGAAGAGAGTGGACTCTTAGGGTCCATATCAGGACATAATGATTCCTGTATCCCTTAGGATCCAAAAAGTAGTGGTCAGAGAACTATTTTCAATATTCAAACAAAGAAAACCCTATCATAATTACACCTTTTCCTGCTCTCTGACAATACCAAGCATCTCAATTAAAGAACAAAGCTGAACACAGTTTTAAAAATACTCTTACTGGGCTTCCCTGGTGGCGCAGTGGTTGAGAGTCCGCCTGCCGATGCTAGGGGACGTGGGTTCGTGCCCCTGTCCAGGAGGATCCCACATGCCGTGGAGCGGCGGGGCCCGTGAGTCATGGCCGCTGAGCCTGCGCGTCCGGAGCCTGTGCTCCGCAACGGGAGAGGCCGCAACAGTGAGAGGCCCGCGTACCGCAAAAAAAAAAAAAAAAAAAAATACTCTTATTGTTCACTAGGAAAAATTTCAAACATACACGAAATGGTCGACAGCCATGTACTTCCCATCCAGACTTGTTAAACTTGGTTTTTATTTCATTATTTATATCATTATTTACACTTAGATCATTATTTCAGATCAGTGGTATTCATCAGTACTTCCCTTTAAACGTTGTACTTGGTGTATGTGTTTCATCAACAGGAGAAGGGATGGGGAGTATATAAGGATGTTTCCCTGGTGGTCATGAATTTTCAAAAACTGAGAGTCAATGAGAGAAAAATAATAGAGTTCTCAGTGGTGAGAAAACCAGAAGCCGCCTCCTATATGTGTTCCCAGCCACATCTCCACTGCACAGTGTTGTCACCCAGGGCTTTTTGTCACAGGTCTGCCCAAAGCAACATAAACAATGCCCTCCTCTTTCCCCTGACTCGTTAAGACTGGAACAACATAGCCAGTCAAGGAGAGTAGCCGGGGCTGGGGGCAGGAATGGAGGGAGTGGGGGGCACTTTATTCTCCTCAAAGAATTGGTCACAGCCAACCCTGCAAGCAGGCAAAGGGGCTCCAGGGGCTCCCGCTGCAGTTCCCCGATCAGCCCCACGTCGGCTCTGCCTGTCCGTGAGCTCTAAGTCACCTCCTGACCTCAAGTATCCAATTATCATGGTTCGCTTTCTTCTTTCACGGCATCGGCAGGAGTCCTTTGTCAAGGCCTGGAAAACGCAGGTGAAAGCCCTGCCTAGTAAAGAAGCTGCTCCACAGGTGTTTGAATGGGGACGTGTTTAGGCCTCATTTCTCTGTCTGCATTTTCTGTTTTTCTTCTTTGGTAGCTCCGACTCTCCTCTTCTGTTTCCTTTTTGGTGTCTGTTGTCCCCTGACCTCTCTATGTGTCTCTGGCTTCTGCTGTCTTGATGTTTGTCTCCCTCTCCCTGTCCTTCTGTCTCTGAGCCTCTATTTCTTCTCTGTCTCTCTGGCTGTTCACTAAGGCATCGTGCTCCAGTCACACAGAGACTCGCCCCTGCCCTGGGAGGGCTCCTGGGCAGGACAGAAAGGCCATTTGGACTGTGGATGTTCGAAGTTCTGCCTTTTGACCTGTGATGGTGAGGAGGACAGGCGCCAGGTGGCAGGACCTTTGCACCTGTGCCCTGGGGCCTGGACCTCTAGTTGGCTGCGGGGCTACCACAGCTTCCTGACAGGTCCCTGATTTGGAGGAGTAGAAAGAGATAAGAGATAGTGCATTCCACTCCCACAAGGTACAGCACAGTTTCTCTCTAGAAAGGAGCAGCGCACACATGCAGGCCTCAAGCTCACAGCCAACTCTGGGGGCTGGATTCAGATCTGAGGAGGTCTGTGTGGCAGGCAAGGATCTGATGTGAGGTAGCTGCCAGGTGCCCCAACGGAACAGGGATCCCAGGTCCCTATGAAGGGTGGCAGGATATGCCTCCCCCAAATCTGCCACTTTGGCCTCAGCATCATTTTGAGCTAAGACACTTGGAAAAAACAGCAGGTGCAAGAAGGGTGCTCTGACCCTCCTCCTTTTCTTCTGAAAATCAGGAGAAAAAACCCCAAATGGGAGATGTCCTAACACCAGGAGGAAACCATCATTCTTATCTTCAAGGACAAGAAGTTGAAGCCAAGAGAATTCTGTACAAACAGACCTTTTCAAAATAATTCTTATCCTCCTTTAGCCTCCCCACAGTTTAGTTACTTTTCCACACTTGCCCCTCTTTTTTTAACCTACTATAAAAACATTCAGATTTTGCCACTTTGGGTCTTCATTTCCTTATAAAGGGTCCTGTGTCACATAAAACTTCTAGTAAATAAATTCACATGCTTTTCTCCTGTTACTCTGTCAATTTAATTCTCAGGCCCAGCCCCAAACCCTAAGACAGCAAAGGTACAGTAAACTTTTGTCTCCCCTACGCCTGTTAGCCCTTCCAATCAGCAAGAGCGACTCTCTCTCTCTCTCTCCTTCTCTGGTGGAGGGTCAGCCCTCGACAGGGTGATGGTGAGGGTTAGGGGTTCATGAGGTACCTGAGTCTCCTGTCCCAGCAGGAGCGACGGACTTGCGACCTCCTGGGTCCGCCTAGAGACCATTCCCCGCGGGCCCAGCCTATTGGCCAGGCCGCGGAAGCTGTTGCTCTTGGCTTCCATCTAGTGGCCGCATGTGAGTATTGCAGCCGTGAAATTCTAAGCTCTGCTGAAGTGGGTGCCTCTCGCTCGACCCGCTCATTAGAGACGCTTTCCTCCCCGGCCTCAGAACCTCAGTGCCCAGGATGGCACGGTGTACTGAGACCCAGAACAGACCCGGACGAGGAGGCGCTCGGTAGCAGGGGAGAGCCTGTAGTAGGCTTCTTGCTGGCTCTGCAGCAACAGAGGGGTCAGCCCTGTCTCCGCCCAGGCCCCTCGGTGCCTTTCTTACCTACTTGCCCTTTCAGTCTAGGGTGTTAGGGGGATTCGTGCTTGACTCTCAAGCACAGCCCTGACCCACTTCTGTGCTTGTGAACCGGGAACGTTCGCACGTCCCCTCTGTGCCCGGGCGGGGTCCACCCCTCTCCTTAGGTCCCTCCCACTTCAGCCAGTGCTCCTGCCGGCCTGATTCCTTGATGTTCTGCCCGCCCGCTGTCTCCCTGTCTTTGCTCCCCCAGCTGTTCCTCCGCTTGTGGAAAGAATATCTTCCAGACCCAGTGCAGATGCCGCTTCCTCTTGAATCATTCCCTCGCCCCATCTCCGCTCGCCCCGCCCCCAGCCCGCAGGTGACCTTTCCTCCCACCTCCTCTCGCCAGTACTTTGCCCCTCTCTCTCTTATTCCGCGGTTGCGTACCTGGCCGTCCGCCCACTCATTTGTGTGGGTGGCATCTGACTTATTCTGTATCTGCGTTCGGCCAAGCGACACGAGGACTCTGTAAGCGTTTATCCCCTGACACGGGGGCTCGTCCCCACCGCGGCTCACCCTTGGCTCTGGCTGCGAGTGGGCAATGCGCCGGCTGCTCTCGGAACGCCGCTTCGCGCGCTGCCTTCAGTGGCCCTGGCTGTGACTTGTGATCTTTCGGGTGGAGAAACTGCTCTCATCCCCGAGAGTCCTCTGTCTGCCTCCACCTGGGGCAGATGCTCGCTGCACAAACACCCCTGATGTGGGTACCCCCCCCCCGGCCCCTGGAGCGCAGCGTCCCGGAGTGTCACTCGGCAGCCAGTCGTGGCAGGTTTCCGTGAGGTGAAGGGGAGATCACGAGCTCTTAACGCGAAATTCCATGGGTTTAGGGCGTTGTAAGTGGGAGACAGAGGGGTTCATGGTGGGTGGGGTAGGGGGTTAGAGACTGCAGAAAAGGGTTCGTTCTGGACACAGGCTAGAAGCAGTCTCTGAAGGTCTCAGGGAAGATCCCTCAATATGAATTTTTGGGGGTTCCCTTTTTGATGATTCTAACCTGATTCTTAGTTCTAGTGGACGGAGCCCTAAGACACTCAAGACAGGGTGCAGGAGAGGGGTTCATTCACGTCTTTCAACAAATCTCTGTTAAACACTGACGATGATCCAGACTCAGGGCTGTGTTAAGGAGATAGGAAATGGCTCTGTATCCAAATTTTCTGTCATTCTAGAACTAGCTATGGTGTTTTTTTCCTTTTTTTTAATTTTTATTTTGGCTGCACTGGGTCTTCGTCATGCTGCGTGGGCTCCAGAGCGCGAGCTCAGTAGTTGCAGCGCATGGTCTTAGTTGCCTGCAGCGGCATGTGGGATCTTAGCTCCCCGATCAGGGCTTGAACCCACGTCCCCTGCATTGGAAGGCGGATTCCCAACCACTGGACCACCAGGAAAGTCCCAGGTTTCTTTTCAATTAAAAAAAAAATTGAGTACCTTAGATAAGACATCTGGAACTTGGAACAAAATTGGCAAATTCATAGCCTTCTTGGATGAAACCAGAAAAGTGGCAGAGGAATGAGGATATCTGAGGAATCAAAACAAGAGCAAGTTAGAACCGTAGTCGCTGGTTTGAAGAACCAGGCTCTTGGCTGTTTCAGAGAGGACCCTAGGGACACCCAAGGAGTTGCTCCCCACTCCGATCCTGGAGGGCCCAGGTCATTTTGGAGCTGCCACAAGATTTTCCCTCTTTAGTCACTCTGGCTTCTCTGTCCCTTTGGTTTTGAACTAACCAATGCCAGTTCTAGATTGTCAGAGACAGTGTGCAAACAAGGCAAGAAAATAATTGTTCAGAAAAGCAGATGGATATTTAATTGATATTTAACAAAAGCAGTCCTCTCCTGCCTGCCCTGCTTTCTCAGTTTCTGTCTCTGCAACCTGAAACAATCCATCCATTTCCTCCCATGAAACATCTCCTTCCAACTACACTTTTCCTCTGGAACACTCTTTCTTTCCAGGCAGAAGGTGAGGCAGAGATGCTGCAAAGATAACATCAGTTCTCTTCCCAGGGTGACCCGCCATGCTGGCTGCTGTAGTGCATTTTATTACAGCGTAAGGAGCCAGGGTGTGCAGGGGGCCTGAGCATTGTAAACAGCCTGTGTGTACAGCCCTATGCCTGGTCCGGCCTCCCTAGAAATGGAAACTCACTCGGAACGCTGGTAGTTCTGCCAACAACACCTCTCCTCTCTTATGAGGAAAGATTTCACTGTCCCTTGTTCATTTATAACAAAGGCATGCGCAGGGAGTTTGGTGTCCATGAGGCATTTATTGTTTTATTTCTCCCACCATTTTCCTGGGCCCTGGGAGAGTGGGGAGGCAGGTGTGACCCAGGTCTGACTTCACTGCCTTTGTCTTTGATATGTGAACAGTTGGCCTTGGACTTGACACCCAAATGCTGACCAGGAGAGACCACAGGCCACTTTGGAACTGCTTCAGCACACAACAATCTCAAACAAACAGGACCTGGTGTGACCTGAGGGCTTTTGAGACTGATGATGGGTGTGGCTCAGCACAGTCAGGCCAACCTGAGAGAGACCTCCTGGAAGGAAGTGGTCTGTAGGCAGTGATCTTCAGACCCAGGTCTCACCTCCTCCAAGCCTGTAGGTGTGTTTCCAGAGCTCACAATTAGGGGTGCTCTGAGCACATTTCGCTAAATGTTCCTTTCTCTTTTACAGACTGTTCTGTGTTGGAATTGCCTGTCCAAAGCTAGGTAATACTTAAAGCACATTCAGAACTTTCTAACCAAGTTCTCAAAAAAGGGTTTTGCCAAAAATAAACAGCTTGGAACTCAGAGCTTTGGCCACATGAAGAGTTTCCAATCCTTAGGAACTGTTGATACTTAAAGCATCCTTCCAAAAGACTTTCCACTTCTATCTTGTCCTTCTGAAAGCTCAGGGCACCTCACAGGTGCTGTCCAGTCGTCTTAGAATTCTTGTGAGGTAGATAAGCGCCATGTCTCTTAACAAGAGTTGAGATTGCTGCCCAAATCCTCCCAGTACAGACATGAGTAGAGCTTCAGCAGACCATGTGAGGTAATTTCTCCTTGCAACTAGCTCAAGCATGTCTGGCTGCAGGAAAAACTACTCTTTCCCTTCTCAGCTGGCCGTCCCCTCTGACACTCGGGGGTCTGGCTGTGAAAGCGAGCAAGTTCTGAGGGTGATCAGTTGTGCTCTGGGCCTGCCTTTTTCAAGCGCCCCACCCTGAGTCCCCTCCCCACCCCCTACCAGAGGTTTGTACAATCAAGGAAAAAGGGAGCTGGGGGTGAGAGAGCCACGCATAGGGATGCTTTGCTCCTAGCTGCAGCGGCAAGTCTAAGGGGCTGGGGTGGGATGGGATAGTGGAGTGTTACCCTATTTCGATGTCAGACACAAGCCATTTCACATGAAAATCCAGATTTCTGCTATTGTTGGAAAACCCAGCAGATCTGGCCACTGGGGTCACATACCTGCAGGCAGTCCCAATCCTGAAGGGAGGTGATCTCCCCTTCACTACAGTTCCCTTTGGCCAGCTCTGTCCATTTATGCCGACCATCTGACTACCGTTGTTAGGTGAGTTTGTACCCTGCCTCCAATTAAAAGGTGCTAAATTGTCATTACTCATGGTGATCCTTGAACTGCTAACGACTCTTAATAAGAACTATGTTACCTGTGTTTTTATTTAGTAAATAAGCCTTTGGGTTTATTCAATCTCTGATTGCCTGCTTTATACTAAGACATTAGCTAGAGTTTAGATATATTCAAAGTTATGGAAAAAAAGAAAAACCCAGAATCGAACAACAAACATTTCATAGGTGCTCTGAAAATACACAAAATTGTTTAGCTGCTTACTGAGAATGTGGTGTTTTAAACTGCAGCAGACAAAGCAAAGGTACATGTTATTGAAGTGGGGATGTGGAGGGGATATCCCTCATGGAGAGTCATTTATCCATGGGCAGGAGGGTACGTGACAGTTACCAACAGGAGGAAAGACTGTTTTCAGAGAGCATAATCTTTCTAGCTTTCACACTCACCCTTCCTTTCATCCCCCCTTGGGGTATATCACTACACCTGGGGATCAAAAAGGGGGGAGGAATGAGGAAACCCACTTATTTCAAGTGGCAGCTCCCTACACATGAATTTCCCCAATTTTGAAAAATAGAAACGTGTTCCATAGCAGTTAGTTTGAAAGGGCAGGACTGGTGAGATTGGAGGAGATTGTCTCAAAGTTTAAATATAGGAAGTTGCTACTCTGTAAAGACAGGAATTTATGGTTCTAGACTTTTGATGGTTAAAATTTTAAAACTTCAAGCTAAAGCAGGGAGAAAAGATGATGAAGAGGACAGAAGTCTTTTGAAAGGCAGTGTCCATGGGCAAAATTCTCTTGCATTGTTAAGTGGTGGTGGTACAGAGGGAGGTTAATTGAGGTCTTATCTCCTCCAGCCAGGCCAATTCTCAGGGCTCACTTTTGTCTTAGAAGCCCTGGCCCTTTCTGGGTTTTGAGCACCTGACTAATGTCTCTCAACTGATCAGCTGTGCCCCTCAGATGATTGCCCTTAACCCTTAAGAAATCATCTTCCATGAGACCTTGCTTGAAACCTTTGCCCTCAGCGGCTGAGCTATTACCTTTTCGGGAGGCTGAGCACTAATGGCTTGTTTATGAGGCTGGCCTCACTAAACCACGGAATCTTGTCAAATCTTGGAACAGAAACCTGGAAGGAAATGGAAAGAGATCATTTTGCAGGGTTTATTGCACTTGGCTATTTCCATCATTAGGATGATCAAAGTAAGCTAATAGCAGCTACACAGCAGTCAACACTTTACAAAGCATTTTTATGTTTCATATTTGACCCTGTTGACTCTCCCATTAAGTAGCCAAGAGGAAATAGTGTTATCTCCATTTTACAGATGAAGAAATCAAAGCTTAGACAGTGTGATTTGCTGAGTCACACAGCTAGTGAGTGGATTTAGGTTTTCTGACTTTTGTGTCCACTACATCTTGTATTCTACTATATCCCTTTGCTTCTTCATTACTCCCATCTGTTCATGCATCTGCTTGTATTTCCATGACCTCAGCTGAACATTAGCACCTATTCAAAGTGTCTGGCTGTTTTCAGTCATGGGGCCCTCCACCCTCATCCCTTCTAGGAGGCAGAGGAAAGAACTGCACTTTGAAGCTATAGACAATTGGATATTAATCTTGGTTAATCCACTTCCCAACTGTATGGCCTTGGAAAAATCACAACCTCTCTGAGCTTCAGTTTTGTCTTCCATGAGAAGAGGACGATATCATCACTTTACAGGTCAATGCACAAGACAGAAACCTTCATGAGGCGAGGGATTTTTGTCTGTTCTCTTCACTGCTGTTACCACTAGCACCTAAAACAGTGCTTGGTACCTGTAGATATTTAGTGAATATGTGTCCAGTGGATGCACGGATGCATGGGAAGTCCCCAGCTGAGGGCCTGAGTTCATAATAGGAGCTCCATCAAAGTAGCCGTTATAATCTCTCTTCTCTCAGCCCAGCCTCTCTCCCTTGCCCTTCGGACGCTACGTCTCAGTCTCCCCGTTGAGCAGCCGCTTTCCTGGCTCACAGCGTTCTTTCCGGGATAGAAGCCGGAAGTTCCTCTGAGCGGCCAGGAGGGAGCAGCAGCGGCCGCGAAGGCCGAGGAAGGGCGCTCTAACCGCGGAGGTTGTGGCAGCCCCGGAAATGCTCGGCCGCCGACCCGACCCCGGCGCCCCGGATGGGGAAGGAGGCGGGCGGCCGCTCTCCCGCTGCCGCGCACCCCTTCGCACTCGCGGGCAGGTGGGTTCCGAGTGGGAGTCAGTGTGTCCGGGCCTCCTCCGCCATCCCCCGCAGGCCCGAGGCCGGGTGAGGGGCGGCGGCGGGCGGGGGAGGCCCGGGAGAGGGAGTAGGGCGCCCGCGGGGACGCCCTACCCTGCCCCACCCCCGCCCCCTCCCCCGCCTTGCGGGCGGGCGTTGCCCTTTTCGGCGCTTCTGACCCTCCAGTCCCCGTGGTGGCCGTGAGATCCCCGGGCTGGGTTCCCTGCTGCAGTGAGGGGGGCTCTCAGGGTGTCTGGCTTGTGATGCAAAACCTATCGTGCTCTCTATGGAAGAAATTAGGTCGGGCAATAAGAATTTTCCTCGCAGACTTGCTGGATGAACTTGGTATTTCTGACTCATAGTTTTCCCATTGTGAAAAGCGTATCATTATCTTTGATCCTCCCGAGTTTCGGCGTTAATAAGTAGGATGATAGCTCTTTAAAGGATGTTAAGCTCAGTTAACGGATTAAGAATCTTGAGTCCTTGGTTTTGGTTAAATAAACCATAAAGCACATATCTTTCTGTATTGTGAGGTTTACTTTTGTCTTTAGACCGGTAACTTTTTTGTTTTTATTTTAAGTAACAGATGCTTTTGAGAACCCAATAAAAGCTTGGAACCTAATCCTAGAAATCTGCATAAATTACAACTACAAGTATGCATTGACAGGGTTTTTGAACGGTCTGAAGCCCATCTATAGACCTCAAGGATATGTGAACTCCTGAGTTAAGAACTGGTTTAGAGGCACAAGCTTTGGGGCAGAATTTTCATTGAAATCTGGATCCACTATTTACCACTGTTAACTTGGGCTAAAGTTACCTAAGCACTTTGAGTCTCAGCTTTTTTACTAGTTACAGTGAGGTTGATACTAGAGATTAACTGAAAGAAGCTACGTAACACGCTTAGCACATAGAGAGCACTCCATAAGTGATAGCTGACAAGGGATTATAATGTAAAATCTGAAATGAAATTTTAATATCCATAATTATAAGATGGCCACCGTGTGTATTCTGTTCAGACTGCTAATCAACTTCTAATAAAGCAATAAGTTGGTTTGATTTTAACTCAGTCCTACCCTTGACCTGTCACAACTTTCATAGATTCATAGTCTCTCTTTTTCTAGGAACTTAGCTGTATTGTCCTGCCTCAGAGAACAAACTCATCTACTGTAGGCCTAGCCTGGGTTGCTGCCTTTGAAAGCAAGGGAAAGTCGGTACAATATCACCCACAGCTCAGCATGGAATTTCCAGAGAGATTTTATTTCAAAACTTTATAAAGATCGAGAACCACATGGACTTCTGCAAGGGAGATTGAACTGGCCTGAGTTTGAGCGAAAGGATGATGTGTGCCCAGCCTGTAACTAACACCAAAGAGGCCAGATGGCAGAAGGTCTTGTATGAGCGACAGCCTTTTCCTGATAACTACGTGGATCAGAGTTTCCTGGAAGAGCTCCGGAAGAACATCTATGCCCGGAAATACCAATATTGGGCTGTGGTATTTGAGTCCAGTGTGGTGATACAGCAGCTGTGCAGTGTCTGTGTTTTTGTGGTTATCTGGTGGTATATGGATGAGGGTCTTCTGGCTCCCCATTGGCTTTTTGGGACCGGCCTGGCTTCTTCACTGATTGGCTATGTTTTGTTTGATCTCATTGATGGAGGTGAAGGACGGAAGAAGAGTGGGCGGACCCGGTGGGCTGACTTGAAGAGTGCCCTAGTCTTCATAACTTTCACATACGGCTTTTCGCCGGTGCTGAAGACCCTGACAGAGTCCGTCAGCACTGACACCATCTATGCCATGTCAGTCTTCATGCTGTTAGGCCACCTCATCTTCTTTGACTATGGTGCCAATGGTGCCATTGTATCCAGCACACTGTCCCTGAACATGGCCATCTTTGCTTCTGTCTGCCTTGCCTCACGCCTGCCCCGGTCCCTACATGCCTTCGTCATGGTGACATTTGCCATCCAGATTTTTGCCCTATGGCCCATGTTACAGAAGAAACTGAAGGCATGTACTCCCCACAGCTATGTGGGAGTCACACTGCTTTTTGCATTTTCAGCCTTGGGAGGCCTGCTGTCCATTAGTGCTGTGGGAGCCATACTCTTTGCCCTTCTGCTGGTTTCCATCTCATGTCTCTGCCCTTTCTACCTCATTCGCCTGCAGCTTTTTAAAGAAAACATTCATGGGCCTTGGGATGAGGCTGAAATCAAAGAAGACTTGTCGAGGTTCCTCAGCTGAGATAGGGACCTCCATTCCATTACTGAGACAAGCTGATAGACCAGCCTTCCAACTAGTAGGAGATTTGAAGGCAGAGTTCCATTCTGGAAGTGGCATAATGATGTGGGTGGGAGATCAGAAATCAAAAGAAAAAAATTACCCATAGGCTTGGGCAGTGAAGGTGCTTCTCCTTTCTGTTACTTTGTTGATGAAAAAGCTTCCCGGGGCCCTCTTGAATTATTGTCTCTCATTATTATTCTCTGTAACAAATGAAATGATGTGGTTTCTATTTATTAAAAAAGTAACACATCCATCAAATTGTCTTATGATTTTTCTGTGAGCAGAAGGCAGATAGAAGGGACATGAAGAGAGAATAAGAGAATGTGTGTGCATATAAAGTCACTTTTACCTTTTTCAGTGAACTAAATGCAGGCTCTGTTATTTATCTACAGCTCAAATCCTAGAACCCTGGATGCTGTGTCCAGTTTTGTGGCCTGAGATCACAGAATTGGTCACTTAACCTTGACTCACAGTTTCCACTTAGTTCTTAATGAAGCATGGATGCAACTAGCTACAAGGGGCATATGATGTGTCATAATACACTAGCAAAATGTTGGGGGACTTCAAAGAGGCTGGAGGTCAAATTAGCTGGAGTAATGAGGAAATACTTATTAGAGGAGATGGCACTTGAGCTTAGTCTTAGAGGTCAGGTGGGATTCAAGCAAGCAAAAGATGGTTTGGGGGCCAAGGTGGCAGAGACCTTTAGGAGCCAGGTCAACAATACGAGCAGCTGAAGCTGGCATGCTTTGTGGGACTAATGGCAGCTAGAACTATGGGGAGAGCGTGCCCAGTCCAAAGAGGGTAACCACTACTCTGCATGCCCGGACTGACCAGAATTGGCTTATAATTATTATTTAGTCCACATCAGAAATGGGGCCAGGGCTTAGTGGGTGAATATAGTAAAGAGTTGTATAAAATAGCTTTTGCTTTTTAATGTTTTAATACACTTTCCTTATTTGAATGGATTTCCAATGATCAACTTTAGGGAACTCACATAGCAACTGCATCCACGTAGGTGAGCAGAGAGTTGCCCACATTTGAATCCCTTTCAAAAATACTTCCTCAGTGGGATGAATGAATGTGCCTGTGCTGTCATGTTCAGCTCTTCCACACAATAGTATTTGGAATTACCCGAGGCCTGATCCTCTGCAGTCTGATGGTTGTAGAAGTTCCCCGTGGAGGTGGCAGGGGATGGGGTGTTATGGGCTGGATGTGAGGGTGCAGGGTGGGGCAGCAGATTCAGTTCAAAGAGAAAAGAGGTGACTGTGGGGAGAAGAATATTTCAACCGGAGTGAACAGTGTGTATGTCCAGGTGCACAGGGCCTGACTCATCCTGGCAGGAGAGGGGAGTGCAGAATGGACGGGCTGCAGTGAGAGGCTGAGGTCTGAGCGTGGTGAATACCTTGAATTCCTGGATCCTGGAGTCAATGGCAAATTAAGGAGCTTTTGAAAAGGGATATAGGGCTCCCACCAAACACACTTTTGTGTGTGTGTTTATAAAATTCTGGTAGCAGGATTCAGGCTGAACTACAGAGGCTGAGCATGGGAAGCTCTTGTGGTAAGAGTGAAAAATGAGGGTCTAGACTAAGGGTGGTGACTGCGCCAAGGAGGTGTCGATTCTGATTAGAGAGATTTTCAGAACTTGGTAAATTCATATTGGACAATGGGAGGGAAAGAGAACTGGCGGGGTGGGGGGAGGCTTCTGCCTTGAGTGGATTCTTTCTAGTAACTATACCATGAGAAAACAGATGTGAGAACAGGTTTGGAAGTAAAGTTGATAAGAAAATAAGAATGAAGCATGTTAAGTTCAAGGTACCTGAGATGGTACACCCAAGCTAAGGTGTTCCATGTGTAGTACCTGAAGGACATTGGTTCAGAATTCTGGGCATTATCTAGAAGGTTACTGAGAATAGAATCCAGTGCTTTTGTGTTTGGAATTCTTTGTACAGAATTGGTTGCCTCACAACCAGGCTACAGTGGAATTAGATCACAGAAGGATAACTGCAATAACCAAAATGGTAGGAATCAGAGGGAAAGGAAGCTGGCCTATGAAAACGGATTAGAGAATAGAACACCACAGCCTGGAAGGAAGCCTCGAAAGAGATACAGTCATTTCTATAAAACTATAAGGGTGAAAGTGGATGTTATTTGCCTACCAAATCATGACTTATAGGAGGAGACACCCTTTGAAATTTGAACAGAGCAAATTTAAGACAAATGAAAAAATAATTTTATGCACTGTCTACATGTAAGTCTAAGAAGTTTCACAAGCCAGGGATATAAATGGGTTCCAAAAAGTTTTGGGAAAAAACTCACATAAAAAAGCCATAACTGTCTTGTAAGAAAGTGTTAAGGGACTTCCCTCGTGGTCCAGTGGTTAAGAATCCGCCTTCCAATGCAGGGGATGTGGGTTCGATCCCTGGTCTTGGAGCTAAGATCCCACATGCTGAGGGGCAACTAAGCCTGCGTGCTTTAGAGTCCACGTGCCACAACTAGAGAGAAGCCTACATGCCACAACTAAGACCCAGCACAACCAAACAAACAAACAAATAAATGTTAAGAAATCCCAAGCCTTTAGGTGTTGCTACCTGAAGGATGATGAGGCTCACTTATGGCATGCTTCTCTGGGTTGCTGCTGGCATAGGGATGCAGGCCTACTTAACAATCGGTATGACCTAATGTGACAGTTCTTGGGAAAGTTACCTATCACTTAAATATAGTAATCCAGTCAGTCTTTTAAATTTAAACCACACTGAAAGGGTACAAATAGGATATTAATGATCTAAATTTCCAGAGAGTATTACAGTGTGTGTATGTGGGTAGCTCGGGGAGGGCAGGGAAGGGGAGAGGGTTAGGGTAGCTTTGGAATTAAAATCCCAACTTGTCAAATACTTGCCTGTATAAGAAGATGTACCCCTTCCTCCCAGCTCTGTTTCTTGTCACCCTAAGTTATAAGGAAGGCTGGAGGGTGGTGGTGGCAATTGAGAGCAAGGAGGGAGGAATCGGAAGGCAGTGTTGCCCATCTTTCCAAAATGGTACCAGGGATTGTAGTTGAGATGGAAGGATGAAGGACAGGTAGAGCCGCAAGGCAGCACGTGTGCTTGATATTTTGGCGTGATGCATGACTGGCATGTGACTAGAATGCGTCGCAGGGATCTGAGTGTCACCACACCACAGTGGTTCTGTGTGGCAATCAAATCGGTATCAGTGTTACGCCTGTATGCTGTGTCAGTACTATAAACTTTTGAGTGTGCTTTTGGCCAGCTGGCTTAAATTATGGATGTAAGAATCACACTGAGCATGTTCAAGGAAGCATATGGAGCCATCGTTTACATCTTTAAGCCAAAGGCTCAAGGTCCAGAAAAACAAAAACAAGCCAGCAGAGGGCATCAGTCACACAATTTTACAATATTTCAAACCCTTCGAATGCGGGAAAACAGGACTGGACACAGTGCCATCTTGTGGAAGTTATTGATGTTCCCTTTTACAATGAAATTCAATGTGTCTTGAATTGCACCTAGGGCTAAAGGCTAACTGGTAGGCAGTCGCTTTTAATGCTTTAGCAAGCCCCTCATCATCCCCTTTATCCCTTATTCTCTTCCTCCAACATCTATTTATTAAAAAATGTATTGTCCACCTAGGACCACCTCTACTCACTTCTACCATTTGCATTTTATGATGTTTAGCCTCAGAAATTTATTCATTCAACAGATACTTACTGAACATTAACTACATGACAGATACTGTTTGTCCTCCGTGCTTGAGATACACCTACGAGTAAAAGGGACAAACTCCCTTGACCTGATGGAGCTTACATTCTAGCAGGAGGAGAGAGACAATAAACATAAGCAGAAGGTAACAAATGCTATTGAAAAAAGAAGAAAAAAAATAGCAATGGTATTCAGTAAGGGGGTCAGGGTAGGTCTTATGGAAAAGGTAACATTTAACCAAAGATTGGAAGGAGGTGAGGGAATTATTCAGATTCTCAGGGGAAGGGAGTTCCAGGCCGAGGGAAGAGCTGCTGCAAAGGCCCTGGCAGAAGACTGCATGGCATGTTTGGGGAATAGCCAGGAGTGGCCAAGGTGGGGTGATAAAGGAGAGCAGAAGAGGAGGCCAGAGAGGGAAAGTGGGAGGCCGGGTCACCTAGACATTGTAGGCTATTAAAAGGACTCTGGCTTTTACTCTGAGATGGGAAACACTGGAGGGTCTTGGAGAAAAAGAGGGACATGATCTGACATAAATTTTAACGGGCTCATTCTGGTTGCTGTGGGGAAAAGTAGAGCAGAAATAAGCATTAGGAGGCTCTGATATTAATCCAAGCAGGGGATGACAGTGCCTCAGAGCAGAGTGATAGCGGAGAAGTGGTGAAAAATAGTCACATTCTAGATATAACTTGAAAGTAGAGTCAAGGTCTTCCTGACATATTAGATGTAGGGTATGGATGCAAGAGAAGAATCGTAAGTGACTCTTACGGTTTTTGGCCTGAACAAATTGAAAGATGGAGGTGCCATCAATTGAGTTGGGGGCCAAGGGGATATGGATAAAGATTTGGGGGAGGAGGATTGGGAATTCAGTTTGGGGCATGTAGGGTATGAAATGTAGACATCCAAACTGAAATGTTGAGTAGGGAGTTGGAGATATGAGTTTGGGTTTTAGGAGCAATGTATGGGATTGAGATATAAATTTAAGACTTGTTGGTATATGAATGGCATTGAATGCTATGTGACTCGATGACATCACCAAGGAAGTTTATATATACAGAGGACTAAGAAATCCAAAGTAAAAGGTTGGAGAGAAGAATAAGCAAAAAGATTTGGAAAGCACAACCACTGAGACAGGAGGAAAATCAAGAGTTTAGAGTCCTGGAAACCGAGTGCAGATGACTCAAGGAAGAAGGGGTGATCAACTGTAATCAGATCAAAATCTGAAAAATCAAGAAAGCAACCCAATACTGCAATAGTACTATGTGATCCTCTACTTAGCCTGACAGCTGAAGTTCAGTCAAAACTGATGGCTTGGGCTTCCCTGGTGGCGCAGTGGTTGAGAGTCCGCCTGCCGATGCAGGGGACACGGGTTCGTGCCCTGGTCTGGGAAGATCCCATGTGCCGCGGAGCAGCTGGGCCCGTGAGCCATGGCCGCTGAGCCTGCGCGTCCGGAGCCTGTGCTCTGCAACGGGGGAGGCCACAACAGTGAGAGGCCCGCGTACTGCAAAAAAAAAGAAAAAAGAAAAGAAAGCAAGGACTGAGCATTGACCATCG